ATGTTCGCTGCAAAAATAAAGAAATGGGTTAGCGGCGATCAAAAACCCCGACCACAGGGGGGGGGAACGAACATCCCTACCTAGATAATCCAGAGCGGCCGCCCCGGTCGCACAACCGAGCAAAGTCTTAGTATTTATCAAACGCTTCTTGGTGCGTATGTTCCCCTGAGCGTCAAGGATATACCGACCGTCGGGCGTCACCAGCTTCGACGGAGGGAGAGACCGCACAAAGGCAATTATTTTCAAATAGGCGGCCATGTCCTTCTCCTCGAGGGTCCCCGCCCGGACGATATACCTATTTGTCCCTCGGCTGAAATGCTCCGCAGTCCACAGTAGATGTATCTTAGGAAGCCACGCGCGGAACCGCTGGCCATCTACCGTTCGCTCGCCCTCGTCGAAGAGAGTGTCTGAGCCGTGCTGCGTGATCGGTTTGACGAGGTAGAACCGATTTTTGAAGTCTTTGACAGAATCGCTATACGCTTTGAAAATTTTGGTCGATTGCTTGAAGGAGACCCATCCGTGGCGACCGCGCACCGTCTGCCGCTGCAAATGGAAGATACGGAAAAATAACGGCACCGTCGGCTCCACCGAGAGGTAGAAACACACCACCTCGAAAGCCCGGATGAAGGCCAAGGCGTTAGGGTGCAGCTGGGACGGGGCAAGACGCAGCCAGTCAAAAAGCCCCAAATGGAAGGCAGAAAACGGTAACCGGAGCCGAGCTTCTTTAAAGTAGAATTCATGCATCGGGAACATCCGTCGCCCATATCGCGAACAGATGCGATGATGTTCTTTTGGCCGGTACACCTGTCAGTGTTGTGGTTCTCCTATGGGTGTGTCCTCGACCGTGGCGTACACGTCGGACGCGTCGGCCACAAAGCAAGAAGGGGTAGAAAGTGGCTCCTCGGCCGCCCACTCCTCGGACGGGGCAATACGCTCGTCGTCATACTCCGGAACCTCAGGTTCATTGTCTTCGACCATTATCCCCGGCACCAGAGCCGACATCTACACCTGAAAGCAGAGGACATCGGTGAATTCGATAGCCAGGATCAAATCCACCCTTCCACCGCAAGTCAAGTGAAAGGGCGACAAAGACCGAGAAGCGACGAGCAAACACTCGCTCCCCGTCTACCCTCCTCGGGGATCAAAGACCGACCCCTCGCCCCCTCTCGGGACGGCCATCGGAGAAGGTACTTCTCCCCGGGGCATTCATCGGAGAAAACCCCCGTCCTCGGGGCATTCATCGGAGAAAGCCCCCCGTCCTCGGGGCATTCATCAGAAAAAGCTCCCGTCCTCGGGGCATTCATCAGAAAAAGCTCCCGTCCTCGGGGCATTCATCGGAACCAGCCTACCCTCCCCGGGACATTCATCAGAAAACTCGCCAGACACGGCGGAACTCGCGTCCCTCCTCGGGGCGTTCATCACGCCCCGACCGCACGTTCCAATTAAACGACGGAAATAAAAAGGAGGGAAAAGAGGGACTCACTTGTAACGGCGGCGGACGGAAGAAAAGATCAACGGTACGGCGGCGGTCGGCGGTAAGCGGCGGACGAGCAGAGACGATAAAGTTTCGCAGAGAGAAAAGTAACAGAATGAGCGGGGACCTCCATATTTATAACCCGGCGCGGGACTCGAAGCGACCCTAGGCTCATTAATGACATAGGGTAGCTGCCCCTACGACCGCTTAACGCAAGACACGTGGCGGCAACCTGACAGTCGCGTCCCTTCACCTGCCTCCTCCCCGTTCTGTCGACGACCGGAGATCTTCGTGCGAGTGCCCGCTCCAGATGCGACGACCTTAAGTCCTCGCTCTTTCCCCAGAGCTTCGACTTGGGGGGCTCCTGTTCCTGTATGGGCCTAACCTCGGCAGGCCCAATACCGCGTGCGGCCCAACAAGCGAACCGGGCACGCCAGGCACGCGCCCCCTTCGAGACGAGCAGGGCAGGCCGCCGAACACAAGCTACGTCTCCACACCCTTTTTGTCGTCCACCACGCCGGACGAGCAGAACCGCCCGGGCTCCCCTCCGCGGGGAGAATAACGTGCTCGACGCACGTTCTCCACGTGCTCCCCTCCGCGGGGACACGTCACCGGCCAGCTGCCCACCTCCGAAAGAGCAGGTCAAACCCACTTTCCGGGGATCTAGGGGCAGTTGAACTAGGGCGAAGACCACGTCCTGGTCTTCACTACGCCACGTAAGCCCTAGCAGTCATTAGGGTTGGGACTGGTCATCCAGCCCACCTCGAATGACCGTTGGCCCAGCGCTGGGGTCTCTCTATAAATACCCTCTTCTTCAAGAGGGTCAGGTAACTCTTCTTGCCCCTTTTTCTGTACTATTGCTTCCTCTCTGTCCAACTTCTTACTTGGGCATCGGAGTGTCTTGCAGGTACACCCCCCTCCTCTTTCTCACCCCGGTGAACAGGTAGCAGCCCAACAGAGTGTGGTCAGTCCGTGATCCCCTACTGATCAGTTCAACCGTCTCGTGATCTTCGAAAGGTGGGATGATCAGCTCTTTCGGAGGTGGGTAGTTGTTTGATGACGTGTTCCTGCGGGGGGAGCACGTGGAGAACGTGTGGAAGACGTGTTGCTCTGCCCGGCAGAGGGAGTGTCTGCCCGGCGGAGGAAATTGTGTCCAACACTGAGTGATTTGCCCCTATTTGGGCCTTCTCCAAATAGCGTTGGGTTGGGCCTGCCCGACGGATGGGCAGGCCTGAACCCCGTCCAGAACAAGTTTAAAAGAAATAATAATAAAAAATAATTAAAAAAAGGTAAATTTTAAAAAGGATAAGAAAAAGAGCTTACTACCATAGCTTACAACAAAATACAGAAAAAGAAAGAGAATCATAGTATTGTGAAACCTTGAAAATTTCAGTCATTTTTGTTTCTGCATGTAATAATAAATTATTGCTTTATCATTTTATAATGTACAAAAAAATGCTCTTAGTTTCAATTAAATATTTTTAATCGCATATAAGAAGTTGCAATAAGCTATGCATAAAATCATAATCAATGTTGAACTTTTCTTTAGTATATTGATGTTTTGTCCTCTTTAATTTGTTCGATGGATAAGGTAACCTTATAAGAGTCTCAGAAAATCTTGGTGTTCATTAGAATGCATCACTTCTTTGTTTTTATCAACCTTTCATTATTATTTCAATTTCCTTGTTAGCCTTTCATGATAGAGAGGGTCAAAATCCTAAACGAGCAATAATAATATTGAACAAGGAAGACATTATAGTCAAAAATCATGTCAGATGTCGAGCACTGATGCATGATACAGGGACACACTTAATCTAATAGGTGTCTGAGGTTCATTCTCTTGCTTTTAATGTTCTCATGGTTTTGAAATTTTGTCGTAAATTTTGTTAACTTTTGATCATTCAAATGCCGTTTGGAATGCTCAGGATTTAGAGCATTTGATCCATCTCTTACTGCAGCAAATTGAATTTAAAGATACTTTATGTTTCTCCCAAAGGCTGAATCTACCTCTCATCAGAGGTTTGTCACGGCTCAGGGCAGTTTGACTAGGCTAGAATAAGAAGCTGGAAAGAATGCCACAGATAGTCTTAAACAACTGAGGCGTATTATTTAGAACGAAAGCCTGATATTTCATCCGACGCCGTACGATATTACAACCATTCATCCTCCTCTCATAATGCCTAACATCAATCAGATTCTTGGCAGCCTGAATCCCCTAGGTATATCAAATGTAATGTAGATGCGAACTTCTTTCAAGACTAGCTTTCAGCCATTAAATGAAACCAAACACCTTTGGTTCTTTCATTATGGCTAAAACATAGTCCTATTCCCATTGTCTTCCAACTATTGAATCACAAAAACTGTAATTGATTCTAAATCTTAATAAGTAAAAGTTCTAAGGAGCTCATAGTTAATGGGACATACATAGCGTTTTACATTACAAACAAAGGTGTTCTACGTGGGAGATCCAAGGTTCAATCCCTGCTAGTAATATTTCCTCTTAGCAAACTAACCACTGACATTTGTCTATCAAAAATATATATAAAAACAAAGCCCTAAAATTACTTATTTCCCGGCATGAAGCCAATAATTTAATCAGTTGAAATCTGATTAAAAACTTTATTTCCCTACAAACTAGTTTATAATTATATAGCATCCCAATATACATGTGCAACTACAGAGGATTAAATTAACATTCATAAATACTAACCTTTATACAGAGTTAGAGTCATCATTGGAGTCTAGAATGCAGCTAACAATGGTGCAGACAGCACAAAAGAACTTCAGCAACTGTTTTCCTAACAATTAAGGAGAAAACAACAGTATGTACCTTTAGAGGAAACGTCGTCTGCTCTCCAATTCAACCTGATGCAAACAAGATTCAGGCACACATTCACAACCAGTATAAATGCAAAACCAAGCTGCAATATTTTTAACTAGTAGTTAGTAAGTAGTAACCTTTTCCAGGAAAATACCTGTTGGTATTTAATCATATTTTTTAAAACAAAAAAATTGGGTACATGTTACAGCTATCAAAGCCTTTCTCTGGCTAACCAAATGGCATTATAATGTCCATAACACATGTAGTACTTTCCAAATATTACCCACCATCCACCTCACTGTGGCTTTAACATGCTTCAAAAGATCTAATCCCGTGGTGGTTACTTATTATGTCTTTTATTAGTTTACCACGCTTTGGAAATACCGAAGACAATAGACATGCATGTATATCACTAACCAAACATTTTCATATAAGATACTATATGATGGGAAGGTTGGTCTAGAAGTTCAAACTATTTAATTGTAGACAGAAATAGGATACACAGTTAATGGTTTAGATTAAAGTAGCTAAATAGCCTCTTCATTGTTATTCAAGAAATTACGAGACAAAATTAAAGCCATCACTCGACTTACATTATGCGGCCCAACCAATATAAAGTGTTCCTTTCACTGACCAAATAGAATAACAGATATTCATCATCTTAAATAAACAAATAATGGTAGAAGAAATTGTTAAAGTTACCTGTTATGTGAATGCACTTGAATGGTCATGAGACGGATAATTCTGTAGAGCTAGGTGGCCCACATTTGGATATCTGATCAAATCTGGCTCCTCCTTCACCGTGTTACCATTGCTAGCCACAAATACTTTCCTATGACTAAAATCACTTGCAGATGACTCAATTTTATTTTCAAAACTTGGTATGCAGTTAGCTTTGCCAACAAATCCAAGATTTCTAAGACATGATTGATCAAGTGAATCACTGGATTTAATATCATATGGAACTTGTCTGAACGCCATGGGCAGATGGCTAGACAAAGGTCTTGTAGCACCAGATGTTGAAGTTGAGTTCTGAATCTGCTGAATATTGCTATTGCTGGAGCCTACTGAAAAAGAGGACATTAGAGGAGAAATGGAGGTAGCTTTGGTGTTTCCGCCAGGATATTGAGATGTACTCGATGAATTATTTGATTTTTCTGATGATTGACTATAATCTATGATGGCATTTCTGTCAAAACTACAAGCCTTGTTGACAGAAGCAACACTATTTACTGCCTGGAAAGTGTCAGAAGATTGAGCAGGAACCACCCTGCAAGATGGTTGCACATTGATTGATCGATTTTGATCATGAATCGGAAAATGCTGTTGTTTTTGCTGATGTCGATGCTTTTGTTGGTGCTGCAATATATCAATCACCATGTTATTATTCAGAATGCCTAACCTCCCCCTTGAGACTGAACCAAGTGTATTAGATGGCAGCCATGCTCCATATCCTGATGATGAATCATCTACTTTAAAGACGGACTGAGGGAAATTAGTGACACTGTTGGAAGGGAAGTTTACATGAGGCGAACCATATGCTTCAGTAGGATCATCAGCACGAGATTGTTTTGGCCCGTGAACAGATGCATGTACTAGTGCAGTCTGGTCCAGTGTAGGCATTATGTTAGTTACCGGGTGACCTAAGAGCTCAGCATGAAGGGCTGTAAGTGTTTCAGGGGAAACATGGCCAGAAGCAACCAAAGTTTCTATGTCGTATCTTCCAGTAGCAGCTAGCTTGGATTCTATAGTCCCAGGAACTCTGTTTGGCATCCCATTTTGTTGCTGTGCCACTCCACTTAATCGTTTCAAATAAAGTCTAAATTTCTGCCAATTGATATTGCAATTCACAATGGTATTGTCAACTACAGTCAGGCACTACAAAACATAAGTTCATTAATCTACAATCTAATGCCTCAGTTTGCAATAATCATCACCAAAAAAAAGGTATCCTGAAGGCCAAACATATGAAATCTAGCACATAATATAAATGAAAATTGAAGAAAAAAAGACTAATAGCATAATGTTGGTGTAACTGATCGGATTAGTTGCATCTTCTGCAATTGTAAATCAAAAAATGAAAACGGTTCTAAAGGAAGGTTGTAAGTAATGACTTCAAAAACTGGACTAATACCTGCAAATGGCTCGCAACATTTTCTCTCGTCAAACCAGTGACATTCATCAATTCAAGTATTCTCTTTGGCACAGCCTCTGAAACATAAGGATAAGAAACAACTGATAAGCAATAAATGCTTAAAATGCTTTATGACTACTACATTCCCAAGACATCTCTAGTCATAGAATATAAAAGCAAAAGAAACAGAAAGAAAAAAGTTGGAAATTCTTACTGTCAAGCCCTAGTTGATTCACAGCACTGACAAATTGTTGATGCAGTTCTACTGACCACACTACACGAGCCTTCTTAGATGTAGATGGATCATCATTCTCCAATTCAACATCTTCGTACTTTAAATTGCTCCTCTTTTTTTGCTCTTTAACTATTCCTTTTGTTATACCAGAAACAGAAGAAGTATTATCATTATCATTGTTCCCTCGTGCGTTGCGGTCATTATCTTCTATGCTGCCAGAATAATCATATTCCTTGTTTTCATTCAAAAATTTCCTTGCGACATGCTGCCATATATTCCTTAGTTCTTCCAACCGTACAGGCTTAATAAAATAATCACAAGCCCCATGTCTAATTCCCTTCATGACAGTACTTGTCCTATCATCAACAGACATCACTGCAGTATGCAGAACAAAACCAAATTTCAGTATTACACATTACAAGTACACTAAAGTAATTCCTCTACAAACAAGAGACCAGTGCTTACTAATAACAGGAAGGTCCATTTCCAACCCAACATGTTCAAGGAGTTTATAGCCATCCATGTCTGGCATATGAACATCACTCAGCACAACATCAAAACAACCTTTCCTCTCCCGCAGAATTTTCAAAGCAACTGTAGCCTCAGAGCATGTTGTGACTGCAGGATAAATAAAAATATATTACAAATTAAAAAGAAATTACATTATTCAAATTAACGGACTTGTAAATTAGCAGCCACCCATTCGGACATGAACTAGATCTACCATATATATCTAGTTCACTTATAATATTTGTAAAATTGGGAGGAAAAAAACTCTGAACATCATTTCAAACATAATAAAAGTTCATTAGTGTAACTTTTATCCTAACAGAGACTTGTATTGGAAATAAATATGATAGTATACATTTTTTTTCCTTTTTCACCCTTACATGTGACTTGCGCATTCTTCCTTTACCCTCCCTGCTTCAATGACTACTATATGCAACCTAGCACCCTCTCACCACCTAAGGCTGACACCGTCCAATAGCATTCCTTAATTTCCTATACAGTTTCCATTGCCTTAAACATACAATAGGATATTATGCTATTATCTAATCTGCCTTAAACATACAATAGTGTTAGAATACTGCAAGTGTGAGTAGTGTGGGTAATAGTCTCACATCGGTTGGAAATGCGGAGACTTAAGCATTTATAACACAACTGTTTCAAACTACTCCAACTAACAGATTGACAGTGACGACATGATTTTGGCAAATTCAGCAATCATGCAGTTAAAATTAAAACAAAAAACACGTGAATTTGATTTATCAGTACTAATTCTATTGGAAGAAACGAAAACAATTGAGAAAACTTCAAGTTGACGAAAACTAACCGCGATAATGGCAGCGAAGAGACATTCGCTCGATAATCTTCAAGGTAGTGACGTCATCATCAACGACGAGAACTCTTAAACCGGCCGGAAACTCTGAAACGGCAGAGCCATTGCATTTTTCGCCGGAGCACGTGCTTGAGTTCGCCGTTTTCTGCAAAGACGCGGGCATGGTTGATTCTTCAAGAAAACGACGCCGTTCTAAGAGAAGTAAAGCAGTGAAGGTAGTAAGGTAGGGGTAATTATGTAAATATGAAACTGTGGAGATAAAATGAATGAAGCAATAAGGAGAAAGATCTCTGAGTTAAGAGAAGTGGGAGTTGAAAAAAGGAAAGGAAAGGAAAAATTCGAAAATGGAGTTGATAATGTGGGAATCTGAAGAGATAAATCGGAATCGTTGAATTAAGATCCAACGGCTCAGATGTTTTGTTCAGGTTTTTTATCCCGCGTTAGTTTTCTGATCTTTTCTCTTTTTGACAACTAGTTTTCTGCTCTTTATCGTACGGATTTGTTTTACTCATTGTACATATATACATATACAAATATGAAATATCATAATGGGAACGGAATACAAACAAATCCACAAGCCTTTGTAAAGTGTCATTATTTTGGATTCACAAAAGAAGAAATTCACTCAACTTGCAAAATTTAGGTGTATTTTTTATTTAATTTTTTAGAGTCAAAAATAATTTTTGAAATGGAGAATTGATTTTAGAATGAATTTGAGGTGTTAGTTTTTTTAAAGGATAATTAATTTCTCATATAGAATTGATTTTGCTTAAAATTATAATTTATAATTTTTGAGTTTAAAAGTGATTTTTATAGTTTAACTTAATTTTGTATAAAATTATTTTAATATTAATTATTTTACATTTAACTTATTTTTACTCATAATCAATCTTATAAAATCAATTTCAAAAAAGTGAAGGAGGAGTAATATTTGCAAGACTTGCAAGAGCGCAGTACTAAGAAAATAAAAGGGGGAGATCAGATGTTTTCGAAAACTTCATCTCTTCTAAAGAGTTACGCTAATTTATGTGATTTGTGAGCGGATATTCACGATGGAAGAAAACCATATAAAGATATGGTGCTAGGGCAAAATGCTAACACGAAAGTAGAAAATGATAGTCATGAAAAAGATACGATAAATAGCAACTATTTGATCTTTCTATATTGATTTATCTAACTTTTTAGTACCTTTTTTAAATAAAAAATAGTTATTTGATCTCTCATTATCATATTATGTATTATTTTTATCTCCTTCCACTTGTCAGTCAAACCTATGACATGGCACATTGAAATTGGCCCCACTTATCAGTTGTAGTTGCCACAAGTGAGATCTAGTTTTGCTTAAGTGGTGTAAACAAGACTCAAGAAATGTTGTCAAAGATGTTTTCGCCAAGACTAAGTCCATTAGTTTCATTATCCAAGGATTGTGTTTGGTTTATTTTTTACATGAAGATTCAAAGTTTTTTTTTATCAAATTCAAGGAAAAGTTGCAACAAATATACTAATTCACTTTCATTACATACACAAAGTGGATTCATACTAGATACAATTTGCAAAGTTACAAAATTCTATTGATTAAATATCAAGAAGCTACAAATGAGTTCAAAGTATTCCAAAAAGGCAAAGTTCAAATGATAATCCAAGATTACAGAAGAGTTTGGAATGACAAAACTCATAAGTCATTTGCTATTATTTGAATTTAAAGTTACAAAGTCCAAATATTGTTACAAAGTGATCACGAAACAAGTGCAAGAATTCCAAATAATGAATCCAAAAGTAAGTTTCAAGGAGATTGATTACATTTTGAAGTAACAATGGAATTATAAGTTACAAAATTCTACAAGATTTCATTTTTGACATGAAACAAAACCTAACTTTAAAAAGATTACGCAATGCCTAAGAGACTAAGTCATCCAAGCTTCCATGCCAAGTTTTCAAGTCCTAAATTCCTATTTCCGTGCCAATTTGTTTCAAGATCTTCATCAAGCTACCAAGCAACCTTGTAGTCTTCCTCCTTCATGGTCATTTGCTACATATCAAGTTGATCTCACCTGATCAGAAAGGAATTAGTGACCTGCCACACGTTGTGATCTGATGCCTTCACCGGAGTTATGGAGAAAAAAAGGGTTGTACCTGCAAAATGCTTTTATGCCTAATTAAGTATAGAAACTAGAGAGAGCAAGTATAGAGAGAAGGCGTGGAGAATAAAATACTCGACCCTCTAGTAAAAGAGGGTATTTATAATGTACCTTCAGTGCAGGGCCAACGGTTACATTGCATTGGGCTGGATTGCCAAGCCTAACACAAGTAACTGTCAGGGCTTACGTGGCGTAGTAAAGACCACCATGTGGTATTCGCCCCGGATCAACTGTCTTGTGATCTTCAGAAGGTGGGATTACCATCTCTTTCAGACATGGGTAGTTGCCTGATAACATGTCCCCACGTAGGGGAGCACGTGGAGAACATCGAAGAAGCGTGTGGGCTTCCTCGTCAGGAGGGTCTTTTGCCCGACGGATGTGCCTTGTTGAGGCTCCTGCCCGATAGAAGAAATTGGGCCTTGTTGGGTGTAATACCCTTTTAAACCTCACGGAAAATATATGAATAATCAAAGTAAATAATCATGCATTCACAAAAGGGCGTCACACATAACTTTTAAACATCAAAAACCACATGTCATGCTCATTAACACTTCAATAAATAATCATGCTTTTCAAAGTTTCACTTTGCATGTAGCAGCGGATTCATTTTATATCATAATTCTCTTAACAGAATAATCATGATCATCACATAATTCAACATTACTTAGGCATTCAGGGCCAACATCATAATATTCCAATGAATATAAAAACATAGCGTAGAGTACATAAAGTATCTCTAAAACATAAACCAAATGATCCCAGTGTTACATGACCAGAGCACGACTCAACCCAACATAACTAAAATACTAAATAGCTACACCAACAGCGACCATGCAACTACAAGCAGCTCTACTCTTGATACCTGCACGATGCCAGATAGGACATCATTCCAGCAGAAGGGTGAGAAATATTATCATAATAATCAATGCATATAATTATATATACCTACAATCTTAGAATACACATAATCAACATTCTCACCACAAGTCATCCATATATGTCACAATGTATATACAAATATATGGATAATCACCAAACACATTCATCATGCATACATCCACAATTCACTCATTTCCACATAAACATTTACAATTATGTTTATTCATCAATTCACAACTCTCAGTTCAACAATTCATACACATATGCATACTTCATACAACAGTTATACTTATGCGATGTGACTCAATGCAACTCAATGCAACTCATGTCATGTGGTACCAACACTTGTTATCATTTTTCGGTTTTTACACTTAAATTAGGTCCGCTCCCTAGACCGATAACAACAAAAGCCCGTTCTCTAAGCTTTCAAACCCCGCTCTAGGTTTGGGACAAGTCACTAGCCTCCACGAAACTAGCAAACATTGCCTCTTGACACAAATGATGCGTATGCAATCAACAACTAATGCACTTAAGACTGTTCTCGCATCTTAATCTCATGCATTATCAAATAATTCATCACACAAGAATTATATCATGATTGCACACATAACACATTTCATAATCACCAAAGTATTCATACTTTCAACACCATCATTATATTTATCAAGTAATGCACAAGGACACACATCATGGTGCTTCACATACAATCGCATACAATCAATATGCATTCACAATATCGCGCCAAACGGCAACGAACTCCATCACAACCATCATGCACTTTTGATACGGCTACCCACAGCATAACATATCACAACATACAATTATGCCTTAAGAAAAAGGGCTAATCACATTCGAATCGAAGAATCGACATTGGATGGAAACAGCAAGAAAATCAAACACTGTCACGCTCGCTGGACCACTCGCCTAGCGAGGTCATAGCGAACAAGCTCGCAAAGACAAACAGAAGCTACTGGAAGGATTCACTACTGGCTCGTTGGAGCTTCGCCTAGCGAACAACCCGCTACATCACTCGCTACTAGCGAAAAGGATCATTTACATTCTGCCCAAGTCTGGGGACGTTCGCTGGCAGCTCGCTACCAGCTCGCTACCAGCTCGCTTAGCGAACACTCACCACCCTGCTCGCCTAGGGAACGTTGTAACGCCCCGATTTCGATTATCCCTTTTTCGTTAAGTCCTTTTTGATTTTAATTGGGTGAATATTATTTTGATGTGGAATTTTCATGGAAATATGTTATGTTTACATATTATTCTATTTTACCTGATTTTGGGAGTTTTCAGAGAGAATAGTTGGAGGGTATTTTGGACATTTCCTATTTAATTATAAGTTGGATATTTTATCAGATATTGAGTTAGTAGATGTTTTGGGGGAAATAATAGGAAGATATTAAAGAGGAAATATGAGAGAAAGAAATATAGTAAGAAAGGAAGGAAAGAGAAGAGAAAGAAAGAAGGAGAAGAGAAAGAGGAGAGAAAGAAGAGGAAACTTTGGAAAACATCAAGATCAAGCCCTAGCTTGCGGTTAATCAGGTAAGGGTGAGAAGTTTTATCATCTTCATAATGTGTATGATCATGTGTGTGCTAGATTGGATTAGTTGGATTGTTTCTATGTTTCCATTTCTAGGTCGGAATTGATTTAATCGGTAGAAACTGAGTTTTATCGGTTAGAATTTAGAATAGACGGTGTAGTATAGTCGGGTGATGAGTGGGTTATACTATTGGAACTGATTTGGATTAAATCGGTCGGTTTGTGAGGTTTGGGCTTTTGGACAGCCATAGGAGTTCTGAGTTCGCAGGTTCGCCATGCGAATGGCAACGAAGCTTCGTCGGGCGAAGCCCAGCGAGCAACAGCGAACCAAGTCAGAAGCATCTACCCTGTCTTCGCTGGCAAGTTCGCCAGGCGAATGAGACTGGTGAAGGTTCGCCAGGCGAATGAGACTGGCGAAGGTTCGCCAGGCGAATGAGACTAGCGAAGGTTCGCTAGGCGAGTATGCTAGCGAGTGCTAGCGAGTAATTCCAGAATAAATCCCAGTGGTCTTCGCTGGCAAGTTTGCCAGGTGAACAATGTAGCGAAGGTTCGCCAGAGGCTTCGCCAGGCGAAGGTTAGCGAACACAGCAGCATGTTTTC